AGAATGACCAGAGAAGGCTGTATCATACTCGTCTATGTGTGAGAAACAAAAGGTTTTGGATTTTATTCCCTTTCTTAGTGAGATATACTTCAATTCCACAACCTCCCTCGAAAGCACGAGTGTCAAGTCATATTCACCTAAGATCCTCTCTATCTAGAGGTACATGGTCATTGGCCTATCAACACTTTAATAATTTCCCTTTGTATTACCTGGGTATACATGCCTGTTAATCAAGTGAAAGTGTGCGTATTTTTCACAGCCCTGATTCCTGAATAGACCCCACTAGATTTTGCATCAGCCACAGAGAAAACCCATATCCAAGAAATGAGAGAAAGCAGCAACCCTACATAACAGCATATCTGTTTAAGGCATCCCAATGCAAACAACCAACAAAATACTCAGAATCCTACGGCTCTTCTTAGTCTAAACAGTCTAAACGAAGAAAAGCTGGCTGGGTTACACAAAGCTTTCAATTCATTAGTAAAAATAGTTCTCTCACTCTCTCTGTTCCTCTCTGTGTGTGTGTCGGGGTGGTGGTTGGGCGGGGGGCGGGGGTATACTTCAAGAAAATCCAAATCCCTCTTTAACTTTCTTATGTCATCACAGGTGCCTTTCATGTCTAAACTGGACCTGGAATCTGGCTGCCACTTCATTTGCATTAACGATGAAAAAAATAACTACATAAGTAGAATGACTAAGGACTTGAACAAGCAAATCTTTACGTATTTATGGAATATGGGCTTCTTTTCAATTTTGAATGGACAAGTTTGATGTATCCGAAATGACACCCATCCAACTCATATAACTCATTTTTTCTTTAATTTCTTTTTTCAGCAATGCTGTTTCAATTTTTTTTTTTAAATTATTCTAAAACTAATATTTAGGAGTAAATCAAGAAGAAAAACACGGGAAAAAGATAGAGGGAAATGTGTGAACTTATAAGAACCACCTCTATTGACAATTGCACTCTCATATAATACAGGTCCCAATACAATCAAAACAAGCAATTCTTTTTTTAGCAAGTCCATGCCTAAATCTAAGTACCGAAATAAGTTAAGAAAAAACATGGAAAGAGAGAAAATGAAGCTTTAGCTCGTGATATTTACAATGATCCTCAGTTTGATTAGACACGTTGTACAATTCTAAAAAAAATAAATGATTTCAAAGTTCTTTTCATTTTAATTATTAAAAAAAAAAAAAAAAAGTTGAACCCCAACCTTGAAGGCCCCCACCGCCCCGCCACTAAACCTTTGTGAGTGAGGTAAATCGCGGGATGTGCCCCACCAGGCCAGAGAATAAGAGTTGCATGTACACTGCGCCTACAAAGAGTCCAATTCTATCTCTCAGAAATCAAACCCCCACACTGCGACTGCCAGCAACGTGTGAGATTATTAAATATGACAGAGAGTGTGGGGACTGCCAGCAACGTGTGAGATTATTAAATATGACAAAGAGACGATACTATAAAAAAAACATCTTCTTAAAAAATTAACTAACGAAACCAAATTATAAGGACGGTGATAAAATCAGGGTTTGGCTTATCAAGCAAACAAAAAGTATAGTTATGCATCTTTCCAACTACAGAGAGACATGCAGTCTAACGTCTACTAAAGAATGCTACTCATTGCTTCCACATCCATTGAGTGCTATTCGTGTACATTACATCCAACAATTCAGGCCCAGTTTACAGCAGGCTCATTCAAATTACAAATCAAAATTATTTTGTATGCCTGTAATATAATGATGCATTTGACTATTTGTTATAATTCTTTGATGTCACATTAATAAATAGAAGTTCAACAATACACTCCTTTATACAAACTAGAATTACAATGGTTCCTTTGAAACTCTATGAATATGATAAGTCACACAAGACAACATAGTAAAGAATTGAAAACTGTTTTTTTGAAACTCTAATACAGTAACAGATTTATAGTTTTCTTCAGTTCTTTTATACAAAAAATAAGATATACTTATTTTTCTTTTTTTTGGCTGATCTTGCACATGACGATAATAATCATAAGATGGTGATAAATTGGAAAATCACATGGCCAGGTAATTGTGAAATGATAATGTGGGTATTTACATCTGATAGTTTATGTCTAAGGCCACATTCAGTTGTAACAAACAACTCAATTTCGCCCCATAACTTAGTACACCAAATTAGAAAAATATTTGTACAAGACAGCCAACACTTGACTAAAAGACAGATATATGTTGCTAAGTAAAATAAGCACTACAATTAAAAACTCGCCTCAATGATCGTAGGTATTGATAAGATATGAAATAGTCAATCCACACGAACAGTTCTAATTGGTAATCAAGTTGCAATGGATGGATTCGGGGCATCCTCCATGGAGTAAGATAACCAGTCCCCTCATCCTTCCTCATACAGTAGAAGCTTTGCAGCAGATATCAAAGATATCATCCAAGGGAGCATGGTCCCCAGTCCCTTCATCCTTCCTTGCATACAGCAGTTGATTCCCTTTGAAGACAAACATCCCTCCCTAGGAAAAACACATGCAATCATATTATTGGTCTAGCACAACACACGAGTTGGTTACACAAAGATAGATAGCACAGGAAGACAAAAAAGATAAAATAATAATAATAACACCTGTTGCAAGACACCACTCCTGTCATCTGGTGTGGCTTCAATTGTGTAGTTCTTCATAGCCTTTTTGACCGCCTCCATTCTTGAAAATACTTTGGCCTGTTGAGTGAAAGACAAGAAAATCTAAAGCTCAGTAAAAAGAAGATGGGTAATTCAAATTTCAGATAAGATAGCCTTTGAACAACAGAAAAGGCTGAGATGAGATACACTTGCTGGATTGAAAAAAGTCCGGCCAAGACCATAATATAAGCCCAAAACATCATAAGCCTGCAATACCAGAAAAGTGTAGGAAATTTAGGCATATGGCAAACAAAATAATCTCAATTGGTAGAGGAATAAGTTGTTACCTTACGTTCAGGGTCAGCATAAAGGCAATCCAGTGGAAAAGGTAACTAACAGTACACATAAATCAGTATTAGGAATCAGAATCAGCACCAACACAAGAGGAATAAAATTTAAGTTGATTCAGTGATAACAAGAGAAGAAAAATGTTTCTTCCCTTAGGATCCCCTTTCATTTCCAAGTGTGCGCACTACGATGGGAAATGGACGGGAGACCCAAATTAGTTACATTTTCTAATGGAACAAATCAGTAGAGGTATTTTCACCCTAACAAGGGGTTTAAAAGATGAAGACAGATGAGTCAAGGAATGCAGGTCTCCAGGAAACAATGTGACATGGATAATAATTGGGTACCTATGTTAGCGAAAAAGTTTAGAATAAATTAGCTGAGTTAACATTTCAGTGACACCAACTTGATCAAATTTTGATTTTAATGCACTGACGTGCAAGTTTGAAATGAATCTATCACATTTAAACTGCTACCTCAGATAAAAAGCCCACTCTTGACAAAATATAACACACACACACACACACACATATTCCAAATAAAAGCCATAGCTAAATTTCTCAGCATAAATTTACAAATTTATAAATGTGAAGGGTAAAATTACCCTTTCAGCAAGAAGACGTGCTTTATTAGGAGTACCAACACCAACAGCAATAAGCTTAACACCAGCAGAGTCAAATCTTTCTTTTGATTCTTTGAGGGCCTCCGCAAGTTCCCAGCTAAGATGCAATGAAAAGAAGCACATCAAAAGGCTGAACATGGAAATTCTTGAATTTATTTGTTATAGGGAAGTTACTGGGGTCAAGTGATTCGTAGTTTACCAGCAAAAACATCCAAAATGCCGCAACAGCGCAACAACAGCCATTCCCTGAAAAGAATATTTCAATTTAAAATTCAAAAATTAGGAACAGAAAGAGCTTATATAACTTCTTTTAACAGAAAGAACCTTAAAATTAACATGTTGGACTTGCATCCTTTTCAAATCAAAGTATTGATGATTCAAAAAATTAAAACCACCGGACTGGGACTCATAGAAAATGTGATGAGTAAAACAAGTAAAAGTAGCACAATGCTTGGCAAAAGTTCCAAACATACTCCCTGCAGACATTTGGAACTGAACTTAGCCACCAAACCCAAACATCCAAGGAGTGTTTCAGGCTTGCACAACTTTGCTGACATAGAGTCTGGCTGGAGCTAACTTGTTATTTTCATTATTTAAAGCTTCATCTAAACTTTGGGCATAAAACTTATTTTAGGAAAGAATACCATTTTCATGGCTTAGTTGTGTGCAAGTTATAAGCTTAAGAAGTCAGCGACTACCTCAGGTGTGCCCAGAACCAAGTTTTAAATGTCCAAAACAAATCGTAGGTGTCCTACGTATATACGTGATCAGAGAACTTTCACTCCAAGCTGTTTTTCTACTTTGACCTGTACTCCATGCTCAAGTTTTTGATTAATATATTTATGATACTGAACTAATTCCGACACGCATGATGAACTCATACTGATTGGCTCACGACGCCAGCATTCAAAATGGTTGAGATATTAAAAGTTGACCTAGTTTCAAACAAGCGTAATTATTCCTGATTTTTGAGCTTATGTCCAATCTAATATTATCTGCTGAACACCAATATTTAGCCCCCGCAACCATACAATCTTCCATAAAATAATATTATATGTAAATAAAAAACTTTTCATTATTTTTTAACCACACATTTTTCAAAAAAACACTATTCCAACCATTATAATTTGACAAGAATGGGGGCCAAACGGGGGCTTAGTATAGCTACCTATAAATATATACCCTGAAAACAAAACTTTTTAGCATTCTTGCAACTAAAATGAAAATCTTAAGTTTTATACTCTTCGAGCCCTTGACTTACGAGGTTGTCTATACAGTTTCAGTTGTAACTACTGCGTAGAAAGTTGTTACGATATCAGCCAATTTAGAGGCTTTTTGATCGGCTGAACATGAAAACCCCGAATCAGAACATGTTTGAGTAAGTCTCACTGGGAAATCATTTGGGCATTCTCTTCTTGATTATCCAAGTTGTTTTTGTTGCTCTAAGTTGGTTAAGCCTGCCAACTAGTTCAAAGGGATAGTTGCTCCTCCTGATGTTAAGTGAATTTGAGCTGCCACTATAGCTGAAAATCTAGAGGGGAGACCCTTTGTAGCGGTAGGGCTCCCATTGGACTGAAGTACTATAGAATTCTCATTCTTATCTTCTCTTCTGTGGTTATTTCTTACCTTCCTCTCGAGTTTGATTGCTGAGTTTCATTGGTAATATCCATGAGAAAAAATTGAAAATATGTAGGTGTTCCTTCACATACTACTTGGAATATCATTGTCAACACATATGCTGAGAAAAAATTAATAATAGCATGGCACTTTTGATAAACTTAAAAAGTCTAAACTAGCATGTTTAGATGAGATTCTCACTTGAGACCTACAAAAGGTAGGGAGAGGAGGGAGATACAAAGCTTTAACTCACTTAAAATAGAGAAATATTAAATAACAATAAAACTAGGCCTAACAACCTTTAAGATTCTAATGGCTATCATACTTTTAACGCTTTTATCTGGCCACAGGTTAGCATGCAGAGGTCAATTGGGTGATGTATGTTAAGTTTGTTCCTTGTTTTATGTACTAGTTGAAAGTCATCACTAGTCGAGGCTCAGCTTGGCATCAATTGTTAGAAAGTGTGTTTGACATTAATATGCAAACTAAACTAAACTAAGCCAAGGTTGAACATAATTTGGCATTCATCAATGTTGATGTCTAGGGTTCAGTTTGGCTTGATAAGCAAATAAATCCTCCCATTTCTTTGTCACAAGAGCTGAGATTTCTGTTAATTTTCAAAGCCAACTCAAAAGATTTTCAAGGTGATCTTACACCCAATTATCATGTTCACTAAATGAATAAGTCATAATTTATATTCTCAATCTGGCCAAAATTAAATCCCAAAATAAATCCTCGTCAGATGACCTTGTATATTGATTCTATTTTTCTTTTCACCAAAAAACCATCGTGCAATTTTCAAGTTCGATAATGATTTCCAGCCATATTCTATGTGTCCACTCTGTCCCAGATTGAATGGCTTATTTAATTTTGCACAGACAAATTTTATAACAATTTGTTTCATTTTCACGCAGAAAAAATTTAGTTCGCCTCTGTATTTTACAATGTTTTACCATGCAATTTTAATTTCTCTTAACTAAATTCGTTCATATAAAACTAGGAGTGGACAAAATGTCCAGACCAAACCAAACCAGAACCAAACCGAGTGGTTCGTTTCGGTTCTACGAAAAAAATTAATGGTTTTGGTTCTTCGAAGCGAGAACCATTTGGTTCCGATTCTTGTCCGGTTCTAATGCTAGAACCAAGAACCAAACCAAGGACCAAACATAATTTATAATTTTATTTTTTGTATGAATCTAATTTTATATTAATGGAAGTCAGTCCAATTGCCATTATTTTTTACAGCCAATTAAACGTGTTTAGCTCATTAATTTTTTTCTCTAATAGTCATAGTCGTCCAGCCCAAAGGGATAAGAGAAATCCAAATTTCCAATTCCAATTTATCTCTCAACATTCACCGTCTCACTCTCGTCATCGATGCCGCCTTCCAATCCATCATTGTATTTGTCTCTGAGGACACTTTGAATTCTAAAGTAGTGAAGTTTGTTTGTTTGTAAATACATATAATTTCTAAACGAAAGTTGACCCTTTTGTTGGAATTTCTTCATTTTTTGAATTTCTCAAAATTCACCTTCACAGTGCCACGGTAGAGGAAGATAGGCAGTACCACCACCACTTTGCCCAGTTTGCACACAGACATCATCATCCCACACCATTCCTCATTTAGACAGTGCCACTTTTCCCTGTTTGCACATGGACATCATCCTACATTTGGACAAAGGATAAAATTGAACTCGATATTATTAACTTCAGCCGAGCTACAGTGCCACAGGGATGATCGCACGGTTAACACAACACGCACATGGGGGTCATGATTATTTCATTCAAAGGGGACCCATGCCTCGGCTATGAGTGCGCGGTCATCCATGCAATAACCAAAGCTAGTTGAGTGGCTTAATTCTATTAACTTTTGGCAATGACTCATTGGTTTATATTTTATTTGTTAGTTTGGACTTTTATAATCTTGATTATTGATAATTTGAACTTGTTAAATGTTTGATGCTTATAATTTTTATTTAAATACATATTACTAACTTATAGATATTGTGCAAGACCGAAAACTTAAGTAATAATACTAGTCTACTAGAACCAGACCAAACCAAACCAAACCAGAACCGAATGCTTCGGTTCAGTTTGGTTCCACTTCTTAAAAAAAATTATTCGGTTTCATTATCAGAAAAATCACTGGTTCATAATTCATTTCAGTTCTCTTAAAACTAGAACCAAATAGAACCACGTCCACCCTTGTATATAACGCTACATATAAAATTTATACAATTAATAAAAACTTAAGGGATTTTGCTTCTAATACATACGTGATATGACGTGGGGAAAGATTAAAATGACAAATGACAGAGTGAGTCGTGACATTTAGTGATCTATTATGTAAATATTTATGTAGATATAGCAAGATACAAAAGTTAAGTTCTCATAGTTTATCCAAAAGAAATTAGAAAAAAAAAAAAGAAGAAGAAGAAGACAGGAATGGATAAAGAGTACCTCCTTTTGATCCCAGAGGTCTTCGAACTTGACGGGCTCGCCAGTGGCAGTGAAGATGCCGACATCCCCGAGCACATCCGTGATGTTATCTGGAACAGCCGCGGCCGTGGAAGCTTTGGCTACGAAAGACGGTCCAATCAGACTCCTTGTATAACGAATTTTACTGATGGGCTTGGTTGAAATTGCAAGAGATTGGGAAGGGAACAGCGATTTTGGAGCATGAATTGATGGGAAAATTAGAGATGTGCAGGTATTGAGGGTTAGAGACTGTGGATTTATCATTTTCGCCATGATTCTGCGTGGAATTCTTCAGAAGGCTAGCACCGGGAATATGGGATTGTTGTTGACAGAAATGGTAAAGGGACGTTTGTTCTGCCATTTTATGTTTTTAGTTTTCGAGAACTCTAATAACGTGTTTCGTTACTTGTTTTCGAAAATGGTTCTGCCATTTTATGTTTTTAGTTTTCGAGAACTCTAATAACGTGTTTCGTTACTTGTTTTCGAAAATGGTTCTGCCATTTTATGTTTTTAGTTTTCGAGAACTCTAATAACGTGTTTCGTTACTTGTTTTCGAAAATGGTTCTGCCATTTTATGTTTTTAGTTTTCGAGAACTCTAAAAACGTGTTTGGTTACTTGTTTCTGAAAATGCATTTTCGAAAATAAGAAAAAATTTACAAGTAACAAGTCAAAACGAATTTTTTCATTTTGAGTGTTTTTAGTTAAAAAAATTCAAAATGCGGAAAACGCTCAAAACACAACTTTTTTGAATTTCTTTATTTCTTTTTTTTTTTATATAGGAATGTTCCACAGTAATTTTAAAATAGTAAATTCACCAAATTTAAAATATATTTTATTTGGTAATATATTACCATAAAATTATTATGTTTTAATAAATAATCAAATTAATTGAATAAATGTTATCAAACAATTTCCAAACTTTTATTATTTTATTTTTGTAGCAAGAAAAAACAGTAAATTCACCGTGTATATATATATATATATTAAATGTCATAAAATAATTTCTAAATATTTATTATTTTATTTTTGTAACAAAAAAAATAGTAAATTCACCAAGTTTAAAATATATATTATCTGGTAATATATTAATATAAAATTATTATGTTTTACTAAATAATCATTTTAATTGAATAAATGTCATAAAAAAATTTCTAAAAATTTTAAACCAAACACATTTTTTAGTTTTCTGTTTAGAGATGTCGTTTTTCAAAATGACAAATCAAACACGTTTTCAATAATTCGAAAATAGTCCTTCAAAACATGAAACATTTTCTGTTCTAAAAAATGAAAATACAAACCAAACGCACCCAAAGTTTCTGATATTTTGAGGGGAGGGGTTAATTACAAACATAAACAGTTTTGTAAGGATTCACGATTTCCCCTAGACGACAACATGTAACTGTACAAGTAATACTCACTTTATAATTGGATTTCTCGCATTCTGTAAACTAAATAGCACTCGACTGAGAGCATCTTCAATAAAAATATAAATAAATTTAATTTGTGATTTAGATCTCTAAAATGATCGAAAACCTTTCCAATTGAGAGATACAAAAGAAATGCAAATTGCATTTTTCGATTACATCCACCAAAGGCAAAAAAGAGGGGGGGGGGGGGGGTTTTTATTTTTTTTTTGGTTATATCTTTTCATTGGAGAATAATGTGGATTTAGGTCCATTGGGATGTAAATGAATATGCAAAAGTGATTTTGAAGATTCTAATTTACATCTATTTTACACTATGATTGAAAATGTTCTAACTATATGCTTGTTTGTGTCGCATTATTTGTGAGTAATATATTTTGAAATAATGATTGATGCTTAAATGTGCGGTTAAAAAAGAATGAAATTTTTTTTATTTACGTGTAATATTATTTTAATAAAAAATGTGTGGTTAAAAATGAGTACTGTTGAAAATATAATGTGGTAGAATGTAAAAAAATGATAGACAAACAAAGCCTATATATATAGAGTACACATTGTGTGCAATGTTTTATCATTGAACATTTGACAACTTATTATGTGTTGGAATGAGCAACATTTCAAAAGTCGACAATTTGTCAAATTACTATTGCTCATTGGTACAACTTTCAAAATATCTAACTAAGTTCCTATTTGACATTCATTAAATCAAAACTCATTTTTTCCTTAAATTCATTTTTCATTACACATTCACACAATTAAATATTGTTTCGTAAGCTCAAAATTTTTTTCCCTACTTTTATCTACACATTCTCAAAAAATCACTATTTGAAAACTCATTTTCACACAAAGAAAAAGAAAAACACATTAACAAGGATGTCAAACTAGGGCTAACTATTATTTACCAACTTAGTCGAGCAATATTTCAATGACGAGCGGTTGATTTTTTCGTGAGAGTCAATTACCACTCCTCTTTCAAAACACATATCACGAATATGTATTTCGAAGGTGAAAGGAACTAAATAACCTCCCGTCTCGTTTCTTCCCTTTGTCCATCACAATCCAAATTTATGACCCAATCACCATTAATACATATATCTCGAATATGTATTTCCAAGGTGAAAGCAACCAAATAACCTCTCATCTCATTTCTTCCTTCTGTCTTCACAATCCAAATTTACATCCCAACCACTCTCTCAAAACATATAGAGAAACACCACGTGTAGAAAATGATTTGCTAGAAACCTTACATGCTACTAAGAGCATTTGAGGTGGGTGATTTAATTTTTTGAATATAAAATCACATGGACTCCACCCCACATATGATATTTTTGGTTTTGTTCTGTATGAAAAAAATTCAGTACATGCAAAATTTTTCAAACATATATCCTGAATATGCATTTCAAGGTGAAAGCAACCGTCACACTTCTTTCCTTTGCCCTACACAATCTAAATTTATGACCCAACCACTGGCTTATTATTTTTAGCTGAAAACTCATCTTGAAGACCGTACCATAAATGCACACATTTATTGGAATTGGACTGATTGGATGGAACATTATTAAGGTGATAAGCTTTGGATTTTGAACCCAATCCACTGTCATTTTTTCACTAAAGGCCTTAATGAGGACATTCTAAATATCGGTAAATAGATTTCTCCGTCTGCTGAATACACCCAGGGTACAGTTGAAGCGTATTCTTATGATTACGTAATAAATAATTTTATTTGTACATCTAAAAGTGTACTGAATTGTTTACCCTCCTTCACATACACGGAGGATCCACTTGAATAAAAAAATATCAAAATTATGTGATCCTCATCCTCTATTGTAAGTAGTCAGTAAGGGGATTAGGTAAAACAATTCGATATATGTAGGATGATCCGTAAGTAATTATCTCTGCTAGTAATCTTTTATGTATATATGACCCCGTTTGTTATGCATTAATGTAAAAATGAGAATGAAAAATATAGTCATTATGAACTTCACACAAAAGATAAAAATTCAAATTTAGCGATTTGATGTGATGGATAACGATCATATTTTTTATTTTAATGAAGAAAAAATGGGAATCAAACGGGGGCTATATATATATATATATTTGATCCCTGAAATTATATGAGGGATGCAATTGATAGTTAAATTTTCTTGATCATTTTCCCTTTTTATGCTATTGAAATAATGCTATAGTCCTTTATTCCTTTAATTTCATCTAAACTTCGAGGAGAATTTAGTCAATTGCCACAGATTATTAGAACTCTTTTTTTTTTTTTAAATTCATTTTTAATTAGCATTTCTTAATAAAAATATTTTGCATGTCAACATATAATTTTTCTCTATTTTTAACAACACATTTTCGACAAAATCACTCTTCACTAAAACTATTTTAAATAAATCTACATGGAACATGTTGTGGATAGATCTGATTTAAGCACATGTTGTCTTTTCTTAGTCCTTGTTTTGCAAACTATTTTTTTACCCGATCATATTTAAAAAAAATTCATACTTTTTAACCATACATTTATATAAGAATCACCATTCAAAATTTTATTTTCTCCAAATAATAGTTCTCAAATTGGGGCATAATTTCAGTAAAACCTAAAGGAGATTTTAGCAAATTCCTAACCAAACCTAGATAAATTTGGTCCTTAAGCTGAGCATTCATGTCCTATACTCTCATTTATGTTCTTTTCTTTTCCTTCCTTCCCATAGTAGAATTAGTTGTTCCAATGGTCACTGAATTTAAGTTCATTTCTTCGATTGGTCATTGAAATTTAAAATATCAAATTTTGGGAACTGAACTTTGAAAAATGTGATACGTTACTCACTAATATAAATGTTGAAGTTTGGAAAATGTTTAATTTACAGTTAGTAATATATAATATTTTTTAAAGTTCCAAAATTCAATATTTTAAATTTTAGTGAGAAATCAAAAATATAGACATAACTTTAGTGACTAAAACTCGACATTTTAAATTTAAGTGACCAATTAAAGATATGGAGTTAAATTATCACCAGAACAATTAACTCCCCAAAATACCATTTTGCTTCTCCTTAAAATAAAAAGAAAAAAGAATAATAAAAAGAGAATCTCAGCTGATAACTTGTTCCTTAACCTGTGCTCTCCCTCCCATTTTTCTGCCCAAGAAAGTTGCTTGTAATAAACTCATGCTCCTGTCTACTCTGAATTTTTTCAATTTCATCAGAAATGAATTTTGGGGTCTTGACCCACAGAGAAGCCTCTACTAATGCAGCCATTCCAGGTTCTATTGAGCCCAAAAATTACAAGGCAAATGGATCTGGGAATCTTAAGGACAAAAGATCTGAATTTGCTGAGGATAGTTGGAGGGTTACCAAAATGCCAAGGCCTTTTCAGGTTGAAACCCCTTCCAAGAAAACTGAAAATTTCATTGCTTTCGGAAGATCTAATATATGGCCATCAGTGGGTGATGAGGGTCAGAATATGCTCTCATTTTCTTCTTTAGAGCCCCATTGCAAGAATGAAAATTTTAGCAGAACAAGAGGTATACTCATAAAAAATTTGAACTTTCAGTTTGATGTCGATATTTATTTTTCATTTTTGTATTCATTTTTTTCAAGGTAAAGAGATGAATTTTAGTGCATTTGGTGGGTGGGTTTCTGTAAAGAATTTATTTTTCCCCCATTCTTCATTGAGCTTTGAATGTTGGCGAGTAGTGGTGAAGATAAAGATGGGGGCTGTTCTAAAAAAAGTTGAACCCCAACCTTAATGGTCCCCACCGACCCTGCCCTGGGCCATCGTGGAGGAGGTAAATCGCAGGATGTGCCTCACAGGAGCCAGGGTGGAGAGCATATGGATAGGCCAAGGCTGTTAACCCATATGGTAACTCCCGCTTGCAACAAAGTCAATTCCACCTTGCGGGGAATCGAACTCTGCACACTGCCGCGCTGAGCCCTATCCGCCCTCCCCTTTGCCACTGGGAGATATGCCCTGGGGGCAAGATGGGGGCTGTTCTGTATGTTGCTTTGTTTCCGTGCACTGGATGTTAGTTGGGAGTAGGGTCTTTTCGTGGACAACTAATAAAGATCTTTTGGGGTCTTGTCAAGAAAACAAAAGAGATTCATTTTTTGGCCCCAGTGTTGTTTAAAAACACAAAATACAGAAAATATTGGTAGTATTGACGTATTTTTGCAAATTTTACCCTTCTCTTTCAACTATTTTCTGGAATTTTTTTTTTTAAAAAAAAAAATTTAAGTGACAAAAATGCTAAGTTGTGCTCTGACTTGCTTCAGGAGTATTGAATGAAGGGATGCTTGGGCCTTTTGCTAGATTGAAAGGTCCATTCAGTCCCTTACAATGGACGGAGCTAGAACGTCAGGCCTTGATCTATAAATACATCGTGGCAAATGTCTCAATTCCCTCTAATTTACTTGTGCCTCTCAGTAGTCCTCTCAATCCTTATGCCTCATCTGGATCTGGCTCCTCTAATTTTTGTAAGCTTCTCTACCTGGATAATTGCGTACATAATGTATATGGCATGCAGAATGATGAGAATCCAGCTTTATTGCAATGAATGATCGTTAACATCTATTTTTGTGATCTCATCTTGTGTTTTTTCAATGGTAGAACCAATCATTAGTCTTGCTTGTACGATGTTTTCATGATAAACTATAACCTCTGTGTATTTGTGAAATGAATCTTTTTACGTTGTTACATGAAGTTTATTCTAAGATATATGGCTAGTGTAAAATGA